TTTTTTTTTTTTTTTACTAGTACACAGCAACATGATGATGTGGCACGTCATAAATTTGCCTCCAAATAACATCCAATGACCACACATAATAATTTCTCCGACAAAGAAGCTTATATCTTCTTTTTTTTCTGTCAGAAAGTTGGTATATTATTTTTGTATTAGAAAGGTAATCAAATTTAAAGAAAACAATTTTTTTTTTTATCTGTGTTTAACTTATGGCCAAAATTATTAATTGATTTAGTTTTGACATAAAGCTCTAATTTATGAAATAAAAAAATTATTTTATTGACAAGCAAAATTAATAATGCCTAAATTAAAACCAAATTAATTAAAAATAAATTTTCAAAATCCAAAATTTACCAATCTCTTCTTATATTTAAATATTTAAATACAGAAATATATAAAAATATAAATATTTATAATAATATCTAATATCTATCCCTTTCAATCTCTGTTTAAAAAAATATGAATTTTAAATTTTTTATATTTATTAAAGCCAATCCCAACGGCTATGACTGATTTCACCCTTTTTTTAAGCTTGTTTAAGCTAATTAAATTAAGTACAATAGTGGTTTTTAAAATTTGTCCTCAAATCAATCCTAGGCATTTATTTGATTGATTAAAGTTTTTTTAAAGGATAAAAACAAATTCCAAATATTTTCTTGATTAAAACTAAGGCACAATACTTAAAACTAATTAGTCAGTCTCAAACCCTAATCTCAATTCTAAAAACCTTTAATCATATTGTTTGAGCTTGAGTTTGATTTTGAGTTGAACATTCATCAATTTTTGAAAAAAAAAGAAAAAAAAATTATATTGTTTGAGCTTGAGTTCTTTGTTTGTTTTCATGAAGTTAGAAATTATATTTTAAAACTAATTATTAATTAATTATTATATTCCATTATTTAGGCTTGAGTTCTATATTTCCTTAAACTCTGCACTATAAGATTGCTCATGTGAATATTTAATTTAAAGGATATTACATATTAAGGTTTTATTTGGGACTATTTTTTTATTATTTCTTAAAACAATTTTTTAGTACAAAAATTAAAATTCATGTACTATAAAATTATTTTTAAAAATAATAAAAAAAACAGTCGCAAACAAAGCCTAAATTTGTATTTGAGACAACTGACTGTCAACAAGGTGTGCAAGACAAATGAATTGATGCACAAGCATCCGTGCTCATGAGGCCCAACATCATGGTTGTGACATGTCGTCTAATATCAGATTGGTCATCAACAAACTAACTAGACTCATACATAATTTGTCTAAGGCTTCGTCTGAGATAGCTTGCTTACTTCGCCTTAGTTTGGGACGGCTTTCTTATTGCTTCTTACAACTATTTTTTAGTACAAAAATTAAAATTTTATACTAAAAAGTTGCTTTTGGAAGTAGTAAGAAAGCGGTCCCAAACGAAGCCTTTGTTTGGGTCAATATTCTTGCCTGGCAAACACATTTCTATTTGAATGTTGTTTTTTAGTTGTTTTCTAAAAATATAATTATAACAGAGTTGCTTTCTATAATAACTTTAAAAAGTTATTTTCTTTACATCAATTTATAAAACAATAAAAAATTATCCCGAACGAAATCTAATAACTTATGATTTATCCATATGTTGGAGCAGTGATGTAAGAAAGAATAGTTGTCATCCTCATCATGAAGAGAGATTATTACGTGCGGAGTCCGAACCTAGAGAAGAGTTAAATTTTGCGATTGTGAATAGTAAAAAACATAGCAAAATCTTAGTGGTGAATAGTAATTGTATTTTTACTGTGCTTTTACTGTTCACAATCATACGACCGAACGGTTCTGTAGGTCCAAACTCCAGATGTAATAATCTCTCCTCATCATACTGCTATCCTGAGCTTGGAGTTCTAAACATTTTTTTAAGCAGCGAGTATAATTTTTACCAAGCACATTTCAAAATCACATCGCGTCATATGAATAACAAAAGCATTTGGCATCAGTTCCTAAATACAGGCTCACAACAATTAGTGAGGCGTGAGCAAGATATCTGTTGGTAGCTAATGTTGAACAAAATCATCGCGCATGCATGTGAGCTCGCTGGTCTAAGAATACTGACAGGCTCCACGATATGTAGGCAACGTGATTGACAAGGTGCAACAAACATTGCCAGCAAGTGCTTGCTGGGATGTGTAGGCGTTAACAAGCAACTGTGTGCAAGAATGTGTGCGGGACAACAAATAGGAGCGCGTGACGGACAAGTGCATGAAGATGAAGAAATTATTCTTTGCGGACGCCGGATGCCGGAAGCAGAACGCCAACCAGAATATGCCACGTCAGCGACACCAAGCCGTGGTACCGAGTAGTACCGAGCAAAGAGGTGACGTGATGCATTCTGGTTGGTCTCCTGACGGCGTTTGGCGTCCGCACAGAATAATTAATCGTGAAGATGTGGGGGGGTGGGGATTAGCCAGTGGCAACATGTATGCGATTGATGAGAGTTGATGCTTGCAGGTGCGTGCTCTATCACAGATGAACATCAATGAAATGATTGCGCCAGCAAGGTGGCTCGTGCTCAGGACTTAATTCTGAAGAAGATTGAGTTGTGGAAGAGCTCGGGTTAGACGTGTGAGTGTTTGCCAGGGATATGCTAGGTGCAGATGTTAAAGCAGAGGTACGAGAGGTCCAGGCGGCTATGTTGGTGCTGTTAGGTGAACCAAGCAGTGTAGGATGTTCGGGGAAATAGATTTTTGCTGTTCTAGTAAGTGTAAGGAGGAGGCGTATAGGAAGCTAGTTAGGTGATCTTGTGGCTGTGCTAGCTGTTGACAGGAAGAGGGAAGTCCGAGGTTAGCGGACGAGCTATGAGGCGTGAGGCTAGGCGTTGTCCACAGGGTGCAGAGGTGCCGAGGCCTCAATTAAATTTGCTTCCTTTAAATCCTGTTTGAAGCTTCATTTAGTGTCTAAATCTGTGTAAAGAATATGGCATTGAATAAAAGGATACTTGAAAATGAAATTACGCTAAGCAAATTCATTATCTATAAGAGATGAGAACATAAAAAGGGGGCATTTTTAAGGATATTCAAGCAACCCAAGTAAAATAATTACAGCGAGAAGCATTCACAATCATTGAATCACTCTACGATCATTAATGGAAGCACTAAACGAAGCTACCTGGCTTGACAACTCACAGGATTAGCGGCCAACTTCATACATTGCTTTGCTTATAGAACTTCGTATCTAGCACCTGCTTCCCACACATGGCACATACACCTGCACCAAGAACAAAATCAAAATAGATTCAGAAAGGAAATATAGAGCCCGAGGCATCTGGTGATTTTTAGAATTCATAATCAAGTCACAGATTTACAATTGAATCGAATTATTTTTATTGAGATATAATTGGTAAAGAAAAATGATTAATGTGTTCAGTGTTTATGCTCTTAAGTTAGGTTAGTAGTTAGCCAAAAAATAATAATTTTAACAAGGGATGGATAAACTATTATAATGTACATCCATCGAAGAAAGGATATTCATTGAAGAAAATTCAAAATGCCATATAAGTTCTAGTTGGATGAGATATGATTCCAAGAGAGAGCTTGACCACACAACATAGGGTACTAGTATAAAGAAAAAAAGGCAAAAGTATTTATTGCAATAGGATAAGCAGATGGAATTAAAAAAGCTTTAAATTTGTTTTTTTTTTTAATGCATGTTGCTAATGGAGAAAAATTAAAATTCTTTAGTTAAGTGGAATCTTATCAGGGATAAGATTACTACTCCGAATAACAAAAATGGTATAAATATTTTGAAGTATCTTTACAAAAAGAATAAGGAGATTTGGTAGAGTGAGGAAGTAAAAAAGATTATAAAGGGAAAAAATGATTGTAAGAGGTGGCAAAAATTGAATTATATTAAGGATTATAACAAGTATAAGAAAACTAGAAATACTGCAAAGAGAATAGCAAGTAAAACAAAAGCTACAGGTTTTGATAATTTATAAGTAGGCTTAGTACTAAAGAAAAAAAAAAGAGATACATAAAATAGCTAAGGTAAAGAAAAAAAAAAGATCAACAAATCTTGAGCAAGTAAGATGCATTACGGTGATAATAATAAGATCATTGATAAAGAAGATGATATCAATGAAATATAAACATTCCTATAAGAAATTACTATATAAGAGATCTAAAAAATTAATTATTTTAGAAGAGCATACCAAATAATAAAATGAAATAGATTGATCCAAGAAAATAAATTGGAATTAGCTTTGAAAAAGATGAATAAATGCCATGCTTTAGGCCCAAACGAGAACCCTATTCAGCTTGGGAGATTTATACAGGATTTTGCAATGATTTAATTGACAAATTATTTCAATAGGATTTTGAAGCCTAAGAGAATATAAGATGATTGAAGAAAAAATGAATGTTAATATTTAATAACAAAGGAAATATTAAAAAATATACAAACTATAGAGAAATCAAACTTATAAGCTATACAATTAAGTTATTAGTTAGAGTAATATAACATAGGAAAAATTAAATTGTTTTTGAAGAATCACTTTAATTTCATACTAGAAAGATATGTTATGGATTCAATTTTTGTGTTCAGATAATTAATAAACTATAAAAACGAGCAAAAGAATCTTTACATGATTTTTACTGATATTGAAGAAACATGATGAAGAATCTCTTGAATTGATGTTGCGTTCATTAAGGCAAAAAGATGGGCGAAAATTATGTTGATGTTATTAAGAATATGTATAATGAAGTAGTAACTAGTATTAAATGTAATTGTAGACTAACCAAAAAGTTTCCAATTATCATAGATTTACATCAAAAAACAATGTGTATATATCTTTTTGTATTGACTATGTAATTGCTATTAAGGATGATCAAAGTAATGTGCATTAGCGAATGCTTTTTGCATATGATATAGCTATAATTGATGAGAAATCCATTGAAATAAGTAAAAAAATTTAGAATATTGAAGGAACTATTTAAAAGTTAGAATCTTTGAGAATTTGTAGAGTTAATAGACTAAAGACTTCGTATATGATTTATAATTTTAGTTGATCTTATGTTAATAATTATGATTTAATATTACTAGAAGAAAAGGTAATACATTGATGTTATAGGTTTAAATATATTATATCTATTATATAGAAAAATAAAAATATGAATGAGAGTAAATTTTCTAGAATTGAAGTTAAATGGTTAAAAAAAAAGGAGTGTATATGGAGTTGTGTATTATGAGGATATCATGGAGACATGGAATCTTAAAGAAAAATTTTATAAAGCCATAATTAGGTCAACAATGTTGCATAAATCTGAATGTCGGTTGTTAAAACGTTATTAAAAAGAATTTAAGTGTGGTGAAAATGAGTGTTAATATAAATGTGTGTCAGAAATAAGATAGATAAATTAAAGAATAATTATATTAGATAATTTATTGAAGAGAATTTTATTGAAAATAAGATGACTAAAAAATAGATTTAAGCGATTTAGACATATATAACAAAAAATAAAAATGTGCTTGTCATATTAGTAAATAAACTTAGCGTAATAATGTTAAGAAAGAAGAGGGGTAATCAATGTTATATGGAAAGAATTTGCTCAAATGATTAGCAAAGCATATATTTAACACATCAAATAACACTGAATAGGAATGAATGAAAAATAAGGAGTCATATCATCAAACCCAGATAGTTGGGAGAAGGCTAACAAAAATTATAATGAAGCTGATGATGCTACCACTCCAACCTTCACCCATATAATCCTCACTCAATTTATCATGCGCAATTTTTCCATACATATATCTTAACTTTCTTATTTCCCTATGCTAAACCTATTTATTAGTAACATTTTATGTCCAATACTAAGATCAATATTGCATTCAAGTCTCCATAATATTCTCTTATTGCAAAATACTCTAAGGACACTTTTCTATTTTATCCAAGGTATATGTTTTCTTCATATTTATCTTTCTCTACGTTCTTCTATAGAATAGATTCAGGATAATAAATGATACTCAAAAGTCACAATACAAGGTCATTGACTTGGTAGTCACGCAGCCAGTGAAACCTAACTATAAGATATGACTTGCAGTAAAGAGATAGGAGAGGCGTCCTGATATAGGTATTATTGAGGCGTGAATTTCTCAGACTATAGGCCTTGGAAATCGAAGCATTTTTTTTTTCTCTATCTGAAAGAGAGGTAGTGCAATGGACCAATGGTGTTACAAGGGACATATGTCCCTTCCTCGTATGATTGCGGTCTTCCTCTCATGCTGACGATACTTGGTGCCTGGGATTTAGCAGAAAACTCCAAGAAGTCAATCTCATAGTGCTCAGCTTCTTCAACTTTATAAGAAAAAAACAGAACGGTGGAGTCAACAAGTTTCAAACTCTAAGAACTCTATTGATGAGCTTGATAAGACGGGCAGTAGACAAGCCCCATTCTTTATTGAAGCCTTGAGTTAAAAGGTTGTAAGCAGTTCTATCATACATTCATATCACCAATGTATTAGTATAATCGACAGGCATTATATGTTTCAAATAACACTAGTGTTATTACTAAAGGAATAGGTAGCTTGATACTGATAATTGGCATCTTTCAACTCTCTTCTCTGATTTAAAATCTCTAATATGGCATCTATCAGGACAAATTTAGCACTAAGTACATTTTAGAGAGTACAAAGATAAGTCAATAGATGTTTCAAAATGATAGAGCAGAACTTCTTGCCTTCTCCATTATCTTCACTAGAAAAAGCATCAGCCGATCAAATTTGTTGGCAAGCCTGTAAACTAAATTAGACCGTTACTTCTTTCAAGCCTATAATGATGCTATCAACCCCTTGTTTCCTAAATTGTGTCTTCATTTGCTACTCCTGAAGAAAGGGCGTACTTAACAATAATTCCCGCTATTTGTTAAATCAAAGCTATAGTTAAATAAAATCAATTCAAGATCTCTGATAAAACACTGTAACAACCCCTATTATGTCCTTCTGGGACGGTTCCTAACTGGTTGGTTACGAAGTGTCACATTTTAGTCATTTTCCCATAGCGGAGAGAATAATAACTCAACACTACATTGCTAACAACATTGATTAAGGGAATCGCATCACCCAGCTTAAGGAAAAATGTCAAGGCTACAAAATCTAACAGTTCATCCATTAGCACTCTAGAACTAATCCATCTGATCAGTAATCCAACTTTTCGAAACAAAAAGAATAAAGCGTAGAGGTTCATAAATAACTAAAAGCGCAGGTGACTTGCCTTTTGAGTAAGCACAGGTATGGCAGTATTTGGCATCTTGGTGGACTTGTTGTTTACAGATCATGCATTTTGCATTTCCGTAAGGTGTCCATCTGAAAATAAATCCAGGGCGGAAGAATGAGAACTAGAGCACCAGAGGATGTACCAACAAAAACCAGTAAATATATGCTAACAGAAATTGGCCACAAAAAGCATTCCATTAATTCAGTAGTCTACATGCATATCCAACAACCAGCTAAATCATTGGAAATGGAAGAGAAACAGATTTTGCCCATATATTATACAGCAGGACCTTGGAATTAAGTTGTCAGTAAAAATGAGGCATGTAGAATGAGAGCAAAAAATATGACCAACTATTCTTAGTGCATAAAGACAGGACTACTCGTGTCTCGCATCCACAAAGATGCCTAAATTTTTTCTTCATCAAACTTTATGTTATCTTGTATCTTTGTTGCACATTTTTAATGTATTATTAATCTAAGGTTGTTTGTGGGGTACCTTTTAACTTTGGTCATCATAAGGTGACTAGTAAGGCCGTAGGGTGGATCATATTATTTGATATTTAATTTGGTGATTATGGCGTGTCCTAGATTAATTAGGATATCAACCCTTACGCCTCGAAGTGCGTGTTTAATATTAATTTGGTTTCACTTCTTATAAAACTTTCGCTTGATGCAAGCATGCAACTCACAACCGAATTTGAATTTTGTGCCAACAGCGGTAAATAACTGTTAATTATTTTCATATAAACATGCTCTTCTTTGTTAGGAGTGTTACCCTTGTTATTTGTGTAAGGTTCCTAGTGTTGACTGCTAAAATATTTCTAACAAGCAAAGATAAGGATGCCAAATGACATCGATGATCGATTAACGAGGCATAGCACAAGCACTGAGGATACTTGAAACTCGCGAATGACCTCCGATCGTAAAAAAAATCACATTGTTGCAACTAAAATATCGAAATTACTCAAATGAGACCTCCCGCAAGAAAAACGAGTGAATGCGGTCGAAAACATCAAGTCAAGTGTGCGACGATACACAAGGTTGCCCGAACAATCTCCCTTCGAAAAATGAACAGCACGAGTGCATCCGAAACATCCCAAAACATAAGAAAAGACATCCATATTACCAAGTTGTCGGTATGAAAAAATCAATGAAAGTTCTACCTGGACAGACTGCACAAGGTGAATTTTGGCGTGCTAACGTAAAAAAAGAAAAATCAACGGGAAAATTGACATTAATATATATATATATATATATATATACTTATCATTTAATATTTTTATTCAAGAACACATATCAAGAGCCAATGCAATGAACACACAAAATAATAACAAAGATAACAAACATCATAAAAGTATCGAGATTTATACAATTCGACTAAAAGATTAGCCTACCTCCATGGGAAAGAAAAGAGGATCTAATCCACTATAGAGAAGAAACAAGGGTGTTAATTAAAAGGGTTAAAAGATAGCACTCTTCACTAAACTCAAATAAAACAATATCACTGATAAAGACAAACAAAAGAAAGAGTGACAAAAAAGATAATAAAAAATATTTAACTAATGTCATAAATCAGTAATTTAAAAGCTCCTCATAAGGATAAATTTTTAGGTATTCATGGAATCAACACAAAAAATTTGACATATCAATGCTTTCACAGCATCAAGATAGTACAATACATTGCTTTCACTGCATCAGGTAGTACAATACATTGCCAAAGAAAAAATCTTCAATCTTTAAATCTTCTTTCCCCCTCTACTTCTGCTAACTCCTCCCATTTCACTAAAATATCAATGACCTCAGTTTCTTTAGCTCATTAGCAGACCCTTTCATTATCTCATTGCTTACCCTTAGCACACCATCCTCTTAGGCAGCTCACACCCATCTTACACACACCACCCCATGCCCGTATGACAACCATCTATTAATAGAAGCTCAAGGGTTGATTTTCAATCTAATTCCAACTTAAATTGTAATTTAATTTTTTTGAAAATAACAATTTCTACAACAAATATTTAAAACCTCATCTTATTGAAAAACATAAGAAAATGTGTTTATCCTAACAAATATTTTCATAACTCAATAATATAGAAATAGATCTTGAATCTCGTTTATGAATCCTTCAAGGCGAGCTCCTCAAGCTCCTAAAATCCAAAAGAGTTGAGCATTGTGCAACCTCAACAAGTGAAAAATGTGCCTAAATGTAACACGTGTGAAACCCCTACGACACATTTGTTGTATATTAAATTGCATCCACTGACATTAAAAATGCACTTGCCACAAAATGAGTATGTCTCAAAGTAGTTGCCTCCTCACTATGAATGAAATAATAGTATTAACTAACACTAAGATAGAATGTGAACCACAAGATCAATCCACGTAATCATTTCCAATCATATTCCCATCAAAATGTGCCTTCTTTTCTTCTAGAACTCGACCTACTAACAAAAAGCTAACTATTTTATGCTTCCTAAAATCACATAACAAATATTATGATAAAACTGAATTAGCTCCACTCTCAAAATTTCAACTCTCTCGGCCTTCACAATAACCAATGTACTCATTTGGCAATTACATCATTATTGGGAGCATTTAAAGAGTGGAGCTAATTCAATTTGGTGATTTAAAACCTTATGGATTTTAGAACCTATATCTTACATTATTTGGAGCATTTAAAGATAAGATTCTTCCTAAGGGCTATTATATTCCTCACACATATCAATGACCTAATCATTCAATCGCACATCATTAATCACCATGTAAAAAGCAGCCATCTTACACATCGAATTGTTTCACATATGAATATAACCTCTAGCACACGACTTCTAAGTGGAGAACAATTCCTTATAAGCATCGCAAAACAAGTAAAATTCATAATCCATTGACCATTGTATCTACTGCTAACAAGCACCAAAAGAGCGCCATCTAAACCTATACAAAACCAATCAACAACAATACTAACATTTGTTGACATATATTTTTTTTGGCTGTCCTTGGCATGTTGATCCTTCCAACCAAGACAATCTTTCATAATGTGTCTTTTCTTTTAGCAATAGAAGCAAGCCACGTCCTTATACCTTCCAATATATTTCATCTATTATTAGAGTTATACCCCTTCTCACAAGATCATCCCAGAACATAATTCCTAAGCCAACTTTTTATATCTAACACACTCCTATTTAGCAATTACAACATTAAAAATATGTGAATTTTTTACATGTGCTAAGTTAATGGTATCTTTAACATACAACAATGTGTCACAAAAACATGTATAAGGGAAAGATAAAGAGCACAAAACCGATAAAACATGATCTACATCATCAACCATTACATAAATATCACTCAAAACCCTAACAATAATACTAAACTCATTAAAATGTGATTTAATTAACATAACTTCTAGCACGTGAAGCAAATACAATCTATTCTATTGATAAAGATTGTTGGCGAGACTTTCGTCATATATGAAGATTCCAACTTGAGCAACAATTCTTCCATGATTGTTTCTTCCAAGACCATATCAACCAAACAAAATTGAATATCCAAGAGACATTTTTCATCTATTTCTCCTTATCATTTTCACTAATAATATCAAGTATATATTAAAATGTCATATGAGTGATTTCACAACCCGATGTTGGATTAACACACCCTGCATCTTGGTTCTCCAAAGCTCACAACTTTTTGAGCCAACAAACTTTCTAATGTCATATTTATGGCTGTCATATTCCAAAATAGACTTTGAAATATGTTGCAAGAGAAAAACACCCAACGTTTATGCAAAAGGATCTACTAGAAATAAATACTATTAACAATAACAACATCATCAAGCCTTTGTCCCACTACGTGGGGTCGGCTACATGAATCCTTTTTCATGAGAAAAACATCCAACATTAAGATTTGCATTCTTCGAAGAAAATAATAGCCTCCATTAACAATAGAGGATACATGATTCCATTCATAGTAGAGGAGATTATATTCAATCCCTAATAAAGCCAGGCGAGAGTATAAATACAAGAGACAGAATGAAGCAATGACCCCTAAACCCAAATACGCTCAATCGCACTCAAAAAGAGAAGCTGTCAATCTCTCAAAATAAGCACAAAAAGAGAAAATTATGAGGCAAATAATAAAAAATATATATTTAACTAATGAGAGAAAATCTCCTCACATCTTTCTAAAATTGTTACAAATTTCCTAGTGCAAACATGCTTCATTGATTCAAAATAGTACACTACCACAATAGCAAATCTTTTTTATTCACTTCTTTTATTCAAAATAGATCTCATCACAAACTATAGCTCTCATTGACACGTTGTTGGATCCCATCAGTGTGGTTCCCAGTTGTTCCAAACTCCCCTTCCCCTTCACATGCCACTGGATATTGACAATGCTTCTCTCATTCTCCATCACACAATGTTAGATCCTGTAGATGCTAGTTCCTAGTCGACATGGACTTCCCATCCCTTTCACATGTTGTCGGATTCCATCGATTCCTACCATTGCCCATCACAAACACCTCTTTTCGTCACACACAATCAAATCCCATCAATAAAATAAAAAGTAGCAAGCAGCCACATAATATTCTAGAACGAAATTACACGCAATGGGTGATAATGCCTTTATATTTGTAGACTATTTTTTGAAGTCAAAATATCTAAAATTGTTTCAAACTTATTTGAATCCGAATATGATTTTAAACTAGCCTTGAAATTGATTGAATCTCATTCAAACCTTGGTTTGAACAGATTCACATGAGCAATCCTAACACAAACTCTAATACTTCTTTGCACACTACTAGATCTCATCAAAGTCGGTTCCCATATATCATGAACTCCCCTTCTAGTTCACATGTTACTAAATTATGTTGATGCCACCTCTCTTCTCCAACACACATCATTTGGATCCCATCAAAAACTCTAGCTCTCCTTCATACACCATTGGATCCTATCACTATTGGTTCCCAGTTGGCACAAACTCCCCTTCCCCTTCACATGTCGTTGGATCCTGTCAATGCTAGTTCCTAGTCGACGGGAACTTCCCATCCCCTTCACATGTTGTCATATTCCATTAATGCCTACCCACTGCTGATGCAGTTAAGGTAGGGGCTTATTTGGAGCTGTTTTGGTGGATTTTTTGCCTTCCCATGTGGTTGTTTGGTCTTCCAATGTATCTTTCTTCTCGAAGCTTTGATTAGTCGTAAGGTTTTTTGAAGTTCTAAGGTGTTGTGTCCTTTTATTTGAAGTTGTAAGGTGTGGTTGTGTTTGATTAAGCTATTGTGGGATATAATAATTTTGTTTTGTTCTACCAGTATTTGTCTATGTTTTAAGGAAAGGAAGTCTTTAGTTTGCAATTTCTAGTGTTTTCTAGATTGCATCAAATGCCCATCACAAACACATCTATTACTTCAAACACAATCGGAACCCATTAATAAAGCTCCCCGCCTCCCCTGCACGCACGCTTCACAAACTATCGAACTCAAACGAACAAACTCTATGGCATTCAAAACAATTTGAGAATGTTGCCCATCGTGAACTCTGCAAGGCTTGAATTCGAAAAAGTTCAAATCAAATTCAGACGCCTCAACTTCAATAAGTAGTCTACGAACGAAAAGGTTATCCCTAATTAGGGATAGTTTCATCCAAAATGAATTTTCAGGAATATTTCTCCAAAAAAAAACAAAAAGAATACTTGGCCAATTATGTATATTATGATGCATACAAAATAAAACTCCACAAAAGAATTTTGAGTACAAAACTTAATAATACTAACCATAGCTCAAATTAATATGAATTTAATAAAAGAATAAAACCTTATTTCCTCCCAATGTCACACTATCTATGTTTCTTTTTTTCTACAAGGATCAAATTAATTATAACATTTTTTCAACCCTCAATTAAGAAAAACAAACGAGATGAATAATTTCCTTTTTATCTCCTAATACTCCCCATCAAAATAAAGAAGATTTATTTCTTTACCTAAAAAGATTTACTGGAATGTTCGCCTTTCGAAATAGAGTCAAAACTACTCCTTCAAAGAACCACGCTAACTTCTTTTAAAAGCCCTAACTCTGTAATTCATCCGGCTACAATAAGGCACCCCATGTCCAGCAAATCCAAATATCTACTAAAGGCGAGGAAATACAGAACAAATAACTAACAAATCAATAGGCGTTCTGTATCCTATCTCCAAGGGACAGTGAGCAAAACCTGTTCTTTTTGGACAAAAGCTTGTTCTCGTTGATCTTCCTTCCCCCGCCTTCAGTTGTATTGCTCGCCCCCTCTTTCCACTTATCGGGCACGATCACCTTCGACAGCTTCTTCTCGCCTGAATTCGAACATAGGTTAAAAAGAAACCCTAATGCTCAAGGATTCTCTATTAGAAAAATAATTAAAAAATCGAAGCTTACATTTCTCGCAAACCATCTCTCTGCTTCTTCTGTGCCTTCTACGAGATTGGACTTTGGAGAGATCGAAAGAAAGGGCAAGCGGTGATGCGGCGTTGCTGAGCTGGAAATTTTATATTTATTTTTTTAATTTATTTGCAAAATTCAACAATTTTGATTCTAAAATTTAAAAAATAAATAAATAAATAAATCGAACCAAAATTTAATTCGATTCAATTATAAATGAACCAAAATATGATTAAATTTAATTTAAATAATATATATCAATAAGAATGATAAGAAATCTTTCCTCAAATATATATAATTTTAACATTTATAATAAATAATATTCATATGAATCTTTTTTTCTCAATTGTTTATTTAAAATTAAAAAAAAAATTAATTTAATATTTAAAAAAGTTAGTCTTATTTAATTTTTAATTTCATCAATTAAAAGAACAAATATCAGAAATCAAAGCAAAGTTAAAATTTACTTTGTTAATATCATTTATTTATCTATTATTATCTTTAGAAATTGATCAAAAAAAATTTCTTTGTTAGATGGTTTGAAATATTCCTTGATTGAGAACATTGGAAAATATTATTTTATATTGTAAAGTTTGCAATATAAAAAAATTAGTGCAATACATTTTAGGAAATTTGTCTTTATATGCCTCATGAAAGTGTCATTTGAACATATGCGCCTACAATATTTTACGTCGAAGAAATGTGACTGAAAGTTTATTTTAGACGTCAATATATGTATAATTGAATATGACCAAAAAATATTAATCATAACTATGAGCACATGTAGTCAAATGTTCAAATAAGAAAGCTGCCCAAACTTCAACTCGAGTTTTTCTCTTCCAAACATCTTCTCTGTCTCTAGTGATCTCAACTTGTAATTGATCTATCATTATGCTTCCCAATGAAGACCTCTGCCTTAAAAAAAAAATCTTCTATTCAAGATTAATGATGATGAACTTCGCATTATTAAGATTTGAATGTAGTAATCTTCTGTTCCAATACCAACAGCCTTGGATTAGAATAGAAAGAAGAATGAAAGGAGAATCTAATGTTCAAAATCAAATAAGATTCAACTACTATATTTAGTGTTTGAATCATCATTGATGTAGTTTTGATTATCTATTTCTAACCTAGGGTTCAAAGAAGGATCGAAATATGTGCTAATGTACAATTAGAATTTTGAACTATATTCAAATCTTGTTCATATACTAAATCTTAAACCCCATTAGCCGAGACACTTGTTCGAGCATACAACAAATAAGTTTTGGAACTCATAGTACCTTCTTCAATCATTATTTGAACCATTTAAAAATTTAATTTAAATCTAAGAACCCTATTCAAACAAGTTTTAAACACTTTTCAAATAAGATTTTAATAAGTTTAAAACTATGCACACCTTTTCATTATGTGTTATAAGAAATTGATTAATTTGAATTTCTTTGCTATCTATACAAATATTCCAACCAATCATTTAGGTGGAAAGCGTAATCTATGTTATCTAAAATCCAAGTAATTATTTGCTAATTATTATAATTTTGAATGAATTAGCAGTTGTAAGTGTTAATGCGTCAAATGGAATAGATAGTGACTGAGGAATTGGGCTAAGAAAGTGAAATCCAAAATTTGGATTTTTTTCCCTTGCGAGCGTAGCAGCACTGGGAATAGGGTGCCCCGACATGGGTGCTCTTAAGAAATTGGGAAGAAAATTTAGTTTTGAAGGAGCACTGAGGCACCAGGTAGCGCCACCGTTGTGTTAGGGACAAGATCTAAAAGATTTTGGGGAATTTAGAAGATTCTCTATGGGGACAGCGACGCTAGCAATCAGGACACTACAATACTAGGCCGATTTGGTGCTTTTAAATAAAAAATATCTAAATCCATTAGCTAGAACCCACTTCATTTCAGTTTGCCAAGGAAGAAAGTAAGGAAAAGGGAAGGAGAGAGAAAGAAACTGAGAGGTTTTAGAGTCCGAAAGCTAGAAATCTTTTGTTCAGTTAGTTGAAAAAATTATCAGGATCGAGGTAGGCAACCCGTACCTTATTTCTAATTTTAATTCCAAAGTGTATAATGAAAAATGTGTTTTTAAAACTATTTTTCTTAAACTTTAGAAAGGTTTCATTGTGTAACTTTTAATATATTGTTTTACTCTCCATTCTAGATAATTTAGCTGTAAGAAAGCAAAGTTTCACCGATTGGTTTTATCTGTATGAATTTTTTATGATTCTGAAAAATGATGGTATTTATGAGCATCACTATAGTTAGTAAAATATATTAATTTAGCATTTTGTACTATCTCTATAAATTTGATAAAATTTTGAGCACTTTTGTGTAGGCAACTGAAATGCGAAGGTTTTTATAAAAGTTGTCATATAGTTTCTATTTACTTTAAAGCTTTCAGTTACATGTTGCATTTTACATTTGCATTATCATGCATTGCATGACATTCTTGAGTTCTATTGTGGAAGGAAGTATGCTATGAAATTCTATGTTTGGGGCCAAGTTAAAAATGTTTCTATTTTGGATTACTCTATTTTGGCTCTGAATTGGCTCTGTATTGGACCATGCCCTGCTATGTGTTGGCTATGCTTTGAACCTGTGTTCAATAGGTGGGAAGTCAAATTTGGGAGTTATAAGGGGCTTTAATACATATACATTTCTACATGTATTTTCACATGTGAACTAGTGTACTTATAACTATAAGTTAAATTGTACTTTTATGATTTTATTTCAAATGCATTTTACTTATGAATTGAACTCTATTATGGGACAAGAGGTTGGCCTAGTGAGTTTTATACTCACCTCATTGTTTAAAATGTTTCATGCAAGGGTAAGAGTTTTTCATAGTAGACTGAGTCTCATAAGCAAAAGAAAATTTGATTTTGAAAGGTACTTGTGATTTTTTTAGTTCATATTGTATTTTAATTTTGCAAAAAATAATATAATCTGAACTGTTGTAATTTAATTATTTTGAGAAGATGTTTTTGTCTTGTGCACTCTAAATATATATTCTATATTATTTTGAATGATTAGATAGCTCTGATAAATAACAAAATAAGTAAGAAGAAGTAATTTTAAATCCCTCCTTTAGATCTTGGGATGTTATAGAAAGAAATCTACCTCTAAGCATCTTTTCATTTGCAGAAGATTAATGGTTTTCTAAGGTCATAACACATCAATTTCACACAAGTGTCTGTTAGCCCTCTTAATTTAATAGTGATGTATATTTCTTATATAGTAGTTGGTACAACAACTAAGCCTAGCAAATATGAAAATCAAGATCTATTGATAATATGTTCATAATGGTTTTTAGGAGGAATGATCCAAATAGTTGTCATGTAAATCATTATCAAGGAACCAACACATTAATCTATAATGGTATCAATCTTGTGCAAAAGTAAAGTATTGTAGAAACTTGCATAAGAATGGGACCACAATCTGATATTTTGATATGTTATAATGATTTTCATAATAGCTACTTGAGCATCATGACACTCAAAATGACTATCCAATTGAAACTTGCTAAACAATTTGTAATAGCTCTTAATTTTAATATTATTAAACCTGATAGCTATAACATTCATCATATAGAAGTACAAATCATATATATAACATTCATCATATTTGTGAAGTTATATATCATACTTTTGAAGATCTTATAGTATAGTGTTTTGTATATTTGTTTTTTAAATTTTTCGTTAAAGATGTAGCATCACAAAATCTCAACCATCGAAATATTATCCACTTTGGCTTAATGACCTCACCGTTTTGTTTCGCTAGTGTAACTTTTTGAGATGTCGTCCATCTTAGGAGTACTCGACCTCTCATGTACGAGCACGTTTAAATTTGAAATTTCTATGAAAGTTCAATCATTACATCAAAATAAATTGTTCGATGTTTAAGATTTTTAACTTTATTTTTTTATGGGGTTTCATGATATCCCTCACTTAGATAATTAAAATCCTCATTAAGTTTCTTAGCACAAAATCATCCACCATGCAAATAGGATTTTACAAATAGAGTTCTCATATTATACTCATGTATTGTTCTGATACCATTTGTAACATCCAAACTCTTAATTATTAGATATTGATCGATTTGGCCTCATGACCCTTAAATAAAATAAAACCAATTTCCTAAATATCGAGACGTCTTTTAGTTTATCGGTTAAATTTTCTTTAAAATCTTTTCATTAAAAACTTTTAAGACTTAAAGTTAAGCAACCTCGTATTAAAGAACTTCTAGGACAATTAACCTCCTAGGAAGTTACGCCAACAGCATAAAATTATAGGATCATTAGGTCAAAATAGACAATATTTCAATATTTAAAAATTTGGAATGTTCCAAAAGAGACCTCCATAAATATCCACTAAATTATGAGAGATGTATATTTATTAGCCTTAAATACATTTAATGTTGTAAGATATATCATCAACTATTTTACAATGGGCATTAAATGTATAGTGTGATGTACTAAGTTTTTTTATCACAATGACAAGCATTAATATAACAATTTATCACAATGCCACAATAATTAATAACACTTAATTATATTACTCCAAAATTAATTCAACAACTAATTATAGTACTACAATAATTAATTAACATTTATATACATTTCTTCAAATTAATTACATTAAATAGAATTAATCTTTAACATTATATTGAATAGGGATACTTGATAGATCATTACAAACTCAAAGGCAAATCTTTTATAATACTAAATAAAATTACATCAAACAAAATAACAAGTATGACAAAATACTATTAATGTTCATATTTTTTGTAGTATATAAGTTTGAATGTGGCTAATTGTCACTTCTAATGGAGTTTCATTAGAAACTTTCAATTAAGCTTTCTCATACTGGAGCACTTCTAGAATGGATCACCTCTTGAAAAGTTATAAATACTTTGAAATATGAGAATGTACATGGGACCTACAAGGATAACTCTCAGGTCTCCCCTTCAATACAAGAGATTATTCTGTGCAGACATCGGACAAAACTTACCGCCCAGAGGCGAATCAAGTGCAACCAAATCATTCAGTACCGAGTCGTAATACCGAGTAGGGGGTAACATGGCACATTTATATTGGGCTCTGGATAGCATTCAACGTCTGCACAGAATAATTCATCCTTCAATACTGGCTCGATGATCAGCACGTTCCAAGCAACCATATTTAGTAAAAAGCTTCATGAACTTCTACTAGTTACATATGCAAAGTCACCATGAATTCAACAAATCATCTTAAAACTACTATTTCTTGAACAAAAGTAATTATCTATTGAACCAGAGAATACAAACGTTTTTAAAATGCTGTGCGTAAAAAGATCAAATGGTAACTAAAAGTTTCTCAAACTATAAAATACATTACCCAATCTACCCCACAGGAAGTCACTGAATGGCCATATAAAGACAATTCAGAAAAAAAATTCAAGTGATGGATAAACCCAAGTTCAAATTTTGAATAAATTGTTTAGTCCAGGATGCAACGTTACATTTTCTGTTTGAGGACCTGGCGAAGCTGAAGCTTCTGACTTCGAATCCTTGCTTCCAAGAGCTTTGCCTTCAAGCTTTGCTTCTTAGAGGCCCAGGGCCAATCTAGACGACCTTTCATCCCTTCTGTGTTATTAGATTTCAGCAAATCTGGAGAGCTCCAATTACCCACACTAGACGAGCTCAAACCTGTTTCCCCAGACTTCCTTGCAGGTGATACGGTGGCATTAGATAATCTACCGTTACAAAGCCTGCCACTGGTTAACTCAAAAGAAATCCTCTTTAAATCCTCACCATTATTTGCTCGCGATGACTTCCAAAGCCTAGATATGGAGGAACCTTTCTTTCTTGACTGCTTTGTGGTTACAGAGAAAACCTCATTGATTTCACCATTTTGTTTCTCATCATCTCCAAGTTCATCCCAATCTGTCCCACTTATCGATGCTTGACTCTCTAAATATACTCCATTAACAGAGGGTTCGCTTCCATTAGGTGACTTGCTTGAGTCCTGCTCTTCGACATGACTTACAGTTTCCCACCCACTATCATCTTCTTCATCAACATTTCCATCAAGCATCAAGCTATTGCACCCATTAATGGGTTTCTCTAGAAGACCATTAGGTTCAAGGGTCACAGATCCATTACATTGTTCAATCTCCCTTTCACAAACTTGTTCTCTTGGCTGGAGTTCTTCAAATATCGAATAAATGTCTTCTGAAGCAGGTGGGGGCTGGTAAGACAACTGTTTGATATCATGAGGTTTAATGGAACCAACTGTCTTTTTAAGAGCTTCTGCTTGTTTCATCTCAGAAACATCAAAGTTATTTCCACTTCTTGATTTCAAAAAGGTCTCTATCTCCTCCTGCAGAGCACTTAGTTGTGAGTACTTCTCCTCAAGAGTTAGCTTCGCATCAATTAACTTCATCTGCACCCTTTCTTCGCGCCAAACCTCCGCCATCTGTAACATTTTCCTTTCCTCTTCTACTTCTTCTCTAGTCTTCAATGACTCGATCTTCAGTGCCTCAACTTCGGCCTTATCATCCCCAATCTCCTTAGCTAGCTCATTGCAAACTTCTTCCAGAAGCTCACGGGTCTTACTCTCTTTCTCAAACTCTTGTAAGAACTGATTTGCCGACAGCTTAGTCTTGGTAAGCTCATTAACAAGCTTGGCATTCATAATTTCCAGCCTCTGCCGGTTCTTCCTCTCCCTACTCAAATCTTCTTTCATTGAATCAATTACAGATCGGATCTTCTCATGCTCTTTTCTCTTCCATGCAACTTTCTGATCTTCAATTTTCCTAACAAAGTGGCCAAGCTTTTTCTTCGCCGATTGCTGCTCCGCCTCAAGCTCACTCACTCTCAACCGAGCTTGCTCAAGCTCTGATTGGAGAAAGGAAACAATAGAAATCATGTCGGATTGCTGGTCTTCGAGAAGCTTCATACTACCATACAAGTCATACGCATCCTTCAATACGTTTGGACATTCAGAGTCCCATTTCGTTGCCCTCTCTTTTGAGAAATGTAGTAATGAAGCAGAAGTATCAAGCTGAGAAATGCACTGAATCAATAAAGGGATGCAAAAATACAATTCAAAAGAAAGAATATTAAGGTTTATTTTTTTATTTAAAGACGAAAAAGTAAGTAGGCTTAACCTTGTGTGCAATGCCTCCCTTGCGATTTTTTATGGCAAGAGGGCTACTGGATTCATAATTATCATCAGGGTAGAGATTGATGCCATTGCCATGGGAAGAATAGGGCAGGTGTCGCTGACCACCAGAGTTGAATGCAAAGAAAAACATATTATCACTTTATCAGAAAAAGAAAGACTAATAAAAATAGAAAGTACAAAGCAAATAATTAAGAGCCCAAACACCACATTTAAAATTGAAGACGTTTTTAGATTGTATTTTGCGAAAGCAGAGTTTTACCCATTGGGTGAGAGCAACCACTCGGGTAAATAGTTCTTTAATATATACAGGTAATATGATAATGCTTTTCAAATTTTAGAATAGGCTCCCTGGTAGCATGTTAAGTTATAAGTGTAATTGGTTCAAGTCGGTTCACAATCAGCACTTGTTGAACCCAGCTCAAAGCCTTGATTGATCTAACCAATCAAATACAACAACAACAACATCAAGCCTTTGTCCCACTACTTGGGGTCAGCTACATGAATCCTTTTTCGCCATTTTGTCATGTTAAAAGTTAAATTCTCATTTAAATCTAATAAAGAAAGATCATTTCTAATATTTTCTAACCAAATTTTTTAGGTCTATCTCTATCAGTCAAATAAAATGTATGTTATTTCTCCGATTTTCTTATCCCTTTTGAGAAGCCAATAAAAACAGTTGAATGAAAGTTCCAAAGACCCCAGTTCGGCCAAGTAAGACTCGATATTAGGGGTGTCAATATTTGACCAGACCCGAAAACCAGACCCGGACCCGACCCGGAAAATTTGAGTTGGACCCAACCCATTTGATAAACGGGTCGGTTTGGGTCCGCATATTTGACCCGTTTGAAAAACGGGTCGGGTACGGGTTGACCCGGCGGGTTGACGGGTCAACCCGGCAACCCGTTTATTTTAAAAAATTTTGAATTTTCCACCGTTTCCACCCGCCTGCCCGCTACCCACCTGCCCGTTGCCCGCCTGCCCCGCGTGCCCCGCGTGCGGCGTGCCGAACCCGCTGCCGCGCCCTCGCCTCGTCACCCGTGGTTCGACCCAAACCCGACGGGTTGACCCGAATTGACACCCCTACTCGATATGGAGAGTTGGCTCTAAAGAGTACTTGGATCTTCGACACATCAACAATGGTGCAAATAAATGCAAAGCTCATGGTTCATTTTGTAAATCAAGTCGCTACTTCTTTCAAGCATCTTTTTTTTTTCAAAGCTATCTTTGAGCTTTTGCCTCTTCCAAAGATGAAGAAGTTCTAGCATCTCTTAAGCCTTCTATAGCTGATGAACTCATAAAGTACTACGAAGCAGAAACTTACAGAGCTTCGCTACGTAGGGAAGAATGTTGTTATCCTTGTTGAAATCAGCACTGATCAGAAGAATGGGCTACTAACTTCAATTCAAGCAAAGTGCATCATAGCGAGGGAAAGTAGCTTGTTAAAAATGGGCTACAATTTGGCGAGAAGCTATAAGAGATTATATTCAAAATAAGCATCAAAAGTTTGATATTGCAAATAAAGAGAAGAAGGATAAAGTTACCTTTAGTAAGGAGCTGATTCTTTACATACGATTAAAGACAAATAGACGTCAGAGAGAATATAGTTAGAGGAAGCCTATAATATTCAAAAAATTTTGAGAAGCTAAAAATATCTAAATTTACCTAAAATAAGATATCCCATTTTTCAAACATTCCAAAATTCAAAAATAATGTTTTTATAAAATTCTATAATTTGTACTGATCATTTGGTATATATATACATATAGGTAATCATAAGCTTATATAAATTTAATTAGATTTAAATTAATTCATCTAAATTAAAATTATAATTTTATTGTTAACTGGATTAATGCATTGTAGCAATTCAGTTTTTCTATTTTCTCAGGCATGCAGTGGTTGATGATATATCAGAGGGCTGTAATGAGGAGCTGTTAAGGGTATCTTAGGAATAATATTATTAGCAAAATCTATTAAGTAAGCTAACCCATTAAATTAACTAAGCCCTAAAACGAAGCAGCAGCCATCCGATCCGTTTGAAGGCTCTCGCCCAAGGACGTGTAGCAGAAAGCAGAGGGGAAAATTGCAGCTGGCCAACGGAAAGGAGAAGGAAAGAAAGATTACAAATAGAAGTTGGGGAACTTGAAATTTACATGCTAAGGGATTATTTTGAGACAAAAATGTTATTTTAAGGTTAAATTGAAATATAATTGAGTTAGAAGTTAAAATTTGTTTTTAATATAAAAATTCTATTCTTTAGATTGTTTACAAATGAAAGACGGAAAGAGGCATCGAGGTAGAAGTAATAAGCCAGTTTATCCGAGGGTAAATCATCAAGCTCCTCAATTAAGTAATATATGCAATTTTAATTTAAAAAGCAACTTTATTGAAATTCTAATTTTAGAAAGTAACTTTATTATAAACTAATATCATTACCTTCCTTTTATATGTAAGTTAAAACATCCAATATTAAAAAATTATTTTGTTTCATTTTAAAAGTACACAGGTATATATATAAAGTTATAAGATGAAAATGTGATATATGCATCTAGATATTTGAACAAAAAAATATAATGAAATAAGCTTTAGAAAGATCATGTATATTGATAGATTAGTAATGTGACAATATGTACAAGTAGGAAGACAAAAGGGAACCCATCAGGAGATAAAAGGGTTCTCCAGTTAAGATATATATGATGACTTGTACAGGCACGGCAACAAAGGTGGGCCTGTATGGAGGCAAAAGGGTCTTTAGCACATAGCCTTAGAGCTTATGGTAGCTAAGAAACCACTTCCACTTACATAGAGATACTAAAGCTAAAAGAATAATTGTATATGATATATGCAACAACAACAACAACAACATCAAGCCTTTATCCCACTACGTGGGGTCGGCTACATGAATCCTTTTTCTCACACACTTTTATGAAATATTGTTAATACCTGAAACTGCTTTACTTGAATTTTTTATTCCTATTAGGTATTTTGCTAATAAGTACATAAGATGTTAATTTTGATATTTCATATGTCAGGATTTAAGGTAATATATTAGACTAATATAGAGCATAAATAAAATTTTATAATAATTACATTCTATTATTAAATTATTTATTTTGCTGAGTTTTAGCTCATATAATATTATCTTAAATGTCATTATAGGTAAAAGAAAGGATAATGTAAAATTCGAATTAGGGTCATATTTTTATATTTTGATCTATGTTATCGTTTGAGCGTACAGTTTTGTTGTAAGATAAAAGTTTTGGGAAGATATGTATATTGTGATTAAAAAAAATCTTTTGTTGATACGCAAAAGAATCCTAATTTATTTTAGCAATTTTGTAGTTTAATAGATGAAAATTCTATTTTAGAAATACCTTTGCTCTAGCGACAGCAACAACAACAACAACACCAAGGCTTTATCCCACTATGTGGTGTCGACTACATGAATCATTTATCTCCATTTTATCATATTAAGAATCAAATTCTCATTTAAATCTAATAAAAAAATTATTTTGAATACTTTTTAATCAAGTATTTTTAGGTCTACATATACCTTTTTAACATAAGTCAGATCTAATACATCTACTCTCTTAATCGGGTCATCGTAAGGCCGATGTTTTATTTAATCAAACCATCTAAGGCGACTCTCTCTAATCTTATTTTCCACTGGAGCTACTCCAACCTTTTCACGCATATATTGGTTCCACATTCTGTCTCAAAGTGTAAAGTCATTCATCCACCTGAGCATCATCATCTCTGCAACACTTAACTTAATTTTACAGTTCTCTTTTAATGGCCAACATTCTGCGTCATAGGCATTGCAAGTCCACCATCTTATAGAATTTTCCCTCAAGTTTGATCATGCAACAAGCCCAATGCATTCCTCTAGTGAATTATGGAAATTTTCATTTCTTCCCATTTATTTTTTTATGTTAAACAAAATGGTTAGAAAGATTTATCTCTATTTGGCTCGTGCCAACCTAAATGGGTTGTTTTGGGGTGTGACAAAGTCATAGTGATTTTGAAGGATGAATTATCCGAGGAGGCTTCCTTAGGAATGGCAGTCAATAAAAATGAAGAATTTGTGAAGAGAGCTTGAGATAATACTAAAGACGACTATGATTTTGAGTTCTAAGATCCAACAACTTGCCAAGATAGATCAAATAGCTAATTTTAGAATTTTGAACACAAAAACATCCTAAATAACTAAGAGTCGTTCTTCATGAAGGTTGACTTGATCAAAAAGAATATATGTAGATGAATATCGGTGCTCAATAATATGAGAATGAAGCTTTAGAAAACAAGTTTCAAGCAAGAACACAAAGTTAAAGGCCAAAGTTGCTCAAGCAATTTTGTGAAGTCACGGCAATTCATGGAGTCAGTCTCTGAGAAATAAAAGGGAATTGACTTGTCTAAAGACTTTACTGAAACAATATATTACTGCATCAGTCTGAGCTGGCCTAAACTACTTAAAAACCATATAAGAAGATCATAATGAGGACAAGTAAACAAGTTGACGAGTAGATGAGTAAACAATTTAATAATATACTTCAATTTTTAAAAAAAATTTTGTTGTAAGAAGTCTTGCAAGTTGAACTCCACAGGGAATTTGTAATGAAACATAAGATTTTATGAATCGTCGTGTGTGCCTCTCTGTGTACGTGGTTGCATCTTTAATCTTCCTAAGTTCTGATACTTGTTCGATCATTTGCTAGGACCTGGCCGCCGATGGTTGGTGTCGCCTCTTGACTCAATCAAAGGGTTTGATAATTCTTGCTTAGTGGGATCTTCAAGTGGAGGACTAGGTGTAGAGAGGGTCGATGGAGGTATAGCTGGCCCGAGGAGGGGATTTATGTTCTCCTTCTTGAGGAAAGAACAAGTTAGGAAGAATAATTGCCCATGAAGGAGGGGATGTGGCCGGCCATATAGGGGGAGAGATAGATGAGGTTTAATTTCGAATTTGGATGGAAGAATAAGGCATGGACAGCAATTTAGAAGGTCGGAATTTAATTCTAACAATTAAAAAAAATCTAGAATTACTTTCTTGTCCAGGTGGCATGCAAATTAAGACAAGAATCAATTGGGATTTATTGAGATTTA